ATATATATATTATATATAGTAGTACGTAACTAAGTATATATAGTAGTAGTAGTAGTAAGTAAGTAAGTAGTATATATATATANACAGAGAGAGAGAGAGAGAGAGAGAGAGAGAGAGAGAGAGAGAGAGAGAGGAAGGAAGGAGAGAAAGAGAGAGATTGGGGCCACCATTGGGGTCATGTCCTGTTTGGTGGTTCCCACAATCATCCCACCACACACCAATTCATCAAATGTTCACGACCAATGATCTGTAACTTTCCATTGTTCATTGATGATTGCCTGATTGGATAAGGTATAATTTGCTGACTTTATGGGAAGGTATCCAGAGATGATATTTAATTTGTTTTTCGCAGATAGTGATATTAATTAACTTTCTTAAAATTATGAATTTTATTATGAAACAATTACTTCACAAGGAGAAAAAACTAGTCGAAATGCAGAGTGAAGCATAAGTATCATGCTATTGATAGTACGTAGTAACTCATGAAAAGAAAGTGTCATATAGTATAGATGATGCACCTTGATATTTAAACCTGCTTTGGCACTGGTCTCAATGAACATCACCCCGAGGTCATGGGCCTTGGCATCCCCTTCCTCTACAGAAACTTGCCTATGTGATAGAAAGAAAGAACATAAAAGGGAAATGATTGTAGTTAACAAAATATAAGTCAGAAAGAACAAAGAAAAGTAGAAAAACAGGGTGGCAGTGTTACAAAAAGTATAATCAACGGTAAAATCATTTAAATTATAAAACATATCAATAATGTTGAGAAGATGGTCTGTACTTTGCGGAACTCTAGGGTGTTCCGTAGACTGTTCTCTTGTTTCAGTTTCAACATTTTATCGTAAAGTATAACCACAATTTAAAAATAGGGTTCAACTCTCCTTTGACCCCTACTGAGTCCACTGATTCTCTTAAGAATCAGATCTCTCCAAGATGACACAGATCAGAGCTATCCTGAGTCCCAACCGGAGTTAATCTTTTTGAACTGACTGTAGCCTCTATTAGAATCTACAGCGCATAATCTAAATACCTATATTTTCACCTTCTAGAAGAATATTTTGCACTGCAAATTCAGGATCCAGTGCCCGACAAGAACCAAGCATAACATTCATATACAAAGCAACACTTTATCAACATAGAGAGAATCTACTTATTTGAAAAGTGGGGTCACTAATGGTCATGCATTTAACTTAATCTATGTGTCTATGAATCCCAAACAGGAATCAATGAATAGGCCTCATAACTATTTTTTACAACTGTAATGGTAGCCAAATAGGACTATGAGTGATGACATGGGTCTCTCCAACTGCAAGTCATTCAAGAAGGGAGGTCCAAGAATGGGACCCATGGTTCCACTAGAGTTATCTTAGAGGGGGACAGGCTCAAGAAGAACCCACTCATGTGGGCCCTACTGGATTTAGTTTCTAATAAATTTTTATTTGATTGGTTTGGCTTTTGGTTAGAGTCAAAGTTAATTAGGTTCAGTTTCCTTATGTTTTAGCATCCTCGTTATTTGGGGTTTCGTTATTTTGTTTGATGTTTTGGTTAAGTTTGAGTTTACCTGGAGACCACATAAGGAAGGATTAGGAGTGAAAAAAGCTACTATTAGTTACAAGCAAGGGACCAATGAACAAACCATGCTTTGGTTACTGAAATTGCTTCTTCGCAAGTTCTACTTAGGTTGATTCCATCTTGCAATGCCGATTCCACAAAACTCATTTTGGTATGCTGCTGATTCCATTCTGTTCTAGGTTATTTTACTCATGTTGTATTCATGCCATTTCTCATCTGTGTGCATTCTTTCACACCAATCACCCATTGCACTCTCTAGAATCCACACCATTTCCGGATAAATCCTAATCCACACCATCCAATCTCACCACATCTATAAACCTTGTCCCCAACCCTCTAATACAAACCCGTCATAATCTAACACAAATTGCCTCAGACTTTCCAACCCTGGTTCCTTCCATATCCATCACACCACCTCTCAACTCATCTCCCCAAAGCCAAGCCAACTTGCATGCATCCAACCATGTCATACCCTAGCTAATCTAAATCCCAAGTGACCCTAAACCCATCCACATCTCACCAATACAACCTACCCTAGCTTCTTACAAAATTCAATCGCCAAACATGACCAGACATATGCAGGATCACCTTTACAGTCCATAGCGAGGAGATCCATTCGGACAAACCACTAATTAGATGGAGACAGCATCCATCAAAGAAGAAACACAAACAAAGCAGTGAATTAGATTTTAGATATATAAATAATGTCCTAAATGCTCAAAACAAAAAAAGTATAAATAATGTCCTAGGATTAGAAAAGAAATCAAATTGAAGTATATAAAAATTACAGAATATTCAAATCTTGCCCAGTATATTGGTGCATACGTGAAACCTGCAACCACAACGGACTCATTGTTCCAACCATTTGGACTGGGAACTGGTCCTAAAATCTCTGGACTGGTCAAAATGTTTTGAATTTACCTGTTTAACTGGTTCAAACTGGTTTTTGACCAGTTTGTCTATTTTTTTATCTATACTTTCAGACTAGTTTGATCGGTGAACTGGCTAGTACTAGTGATTTGGACCGGACCAGTGCGCTCGCCTCTTCGATGACCGGTCTATCCATGATAACAATGCTCACCAGAAACTTTGGATGAGAGAACTATGAGCAAGAAATCACATTGTTACACTCAAAGTTCTTTTCTATATCAAACATCGTCTTGCAAAGGGTTATTATTATTGCTCTCTAATTTATTTTCGATACCAAATTTTTAGGCATTCATAACCAATAAGTTATAATTTGTCATACACAGCTGCTATATGGAATGCCATCATTGTGGATCTCATATTTCACCCCATTATTTGTCATAAATATTGATTGCGGATAGAAGAACCTCAAAGAACAACAAATTTTGTTTTCAAAGACTGCAAAGATGCTAGTAATCATTAATCCGCCAAAGCGTACTGGCATAATTACATGAAATATAGAGGAAACAAAAGAAATGGACAAGATGAAGTATGCTTTGTTGTACTCCAAGAGGCATCCACTGTCTGTTCCTGATGATGGACTGCAGAGGTATACAGTACAGAGATAACTGACCCAGAGGAACCCCTTAAAGTTACATCTCCACTGTCATATAATAGCAATGTATAGCGCATGATCTGTGGAGTACCACACACCATAGACCATTGGATTATGGCATTCCTTTCCAAAAAACATGCAAGAGCAATGAGTTCTGGTATAGTTAGCCATTACCTTTTGTCAACAAGATCGGTTTTGTTTCCAACTAGGACAATAATGACATCACTACCACGCTCAGTACGTACTTCCTCAATCCACTTCGGAGTGTTTAGAAAAGACTGGCGATCTGGATATCAAAAGGATAGGATAGGAAACAATAAGAACTAGAAAGTTAGGTGGGAAAGAATGTCAGGTATAATATAATCCAATGGACATAGAAAAGCATAGCCGATTGCGATCATCACCATTGAATGAAATAATGTGAAATCCTGCATCACTATCCACCACCACCAACCATCATTTCATAGAATTACAGTAACACAAAAAAGAAATGATAAATAGTTGCAAAAATTATCAGAGCTTCTCTCCATTGGTTATGGTTGTGCTGTAAAATTATGAGTCCTTTAATAGTGTGACACCATTAAACAGGAACAGAAAATGTAGCCCTTATATAAACGTAACCATCTAAAATAGGACTCTATAAATTAAATAGGAGCATATGAATTAAATAGACCCACAACTCACTTGCAACGTCATACGCGATAACAGCAACAGAAGAATCCCGAATGTAGCTTGGAATGAGGCTCCTAAACCTCTCCTGCCCAGCAGTATCCCTATAACAATATCAGTTAGAAACTGCATGTAGCTTCAACACAGATCCCCAATTAACATTATCATGGCATAAAATATTAATGATCGAGAATACGTAATATTTTTTATATGGCTCTAGATATGTGATTTTCATAAATATATGGCACTTTGTTCTTTCTCCTTGAATAATTCACCTCAAAAGCTATATTAGCATGTGAAATTACAAACGAGATACAGCAGACATATATGCGTAGTTTTGGAGGCCAAGCATGCATTTCTTAGCCATGTAAGAATATATCATAATAATGAAAAAAATGTAGCTCTTTGTGCTCACTATGTATGTACCACCCAAAATTACAAAATAACTAAGAGACACGAGCAATTAACTAATAATAGCTCTTTGCGTTCACACCTTTCACCAAGCCATTGACCAGCCAATTATGAGAACAAAATATAAATGAAAGGAAACTTTCAAACATAGGATTCGCTAAGTCTGTAAACATGCCATCGCACATTCCACTGGTTGGTAGGTTACTAACTCATTCAAGAGGCAGAGATCAACAGAATGGTAACGTACGCTGTAAGAGAGAGTGATGTAACTAATTATGGATTATGGGGTCATTACCATCCATCAGAATGATATATGGTGGTTAAGAAAGAGCGGTACCACCAGAAGAAAGCATGGCCCAATGGTGGTCTCACAACTATAGAACAAACATATTTACCAAAGTTGCAGGCGGACTGTCCTATCTTCAAGGTACATCGTCTTTGACAGAAAGTCAATCCCAATTGTAGCCTGCAATTCGAATGGTACAAGAACGTTCAAGACAAGTAGGAGTAACACAATAATAACTTGAAAAGCAAAAGGAGCAAGAGTTTGCTTTCCATAACATAAATTTAATAGGAGTTTGTATTCATAAAATGGCATCCAAAATAAAGGACTCATCATGAGAGAGACAAATTCCATATCTATCTATCTATTATCTATTATATATATTAAGCGAGAGCAACATCCCTCTTATTATCGCGCCACGTGTCTTTTTTCATTCAATTCTTTTCCCTCTCTCCCTCCCACATTTCTACACACTCTCTCTCTCTTTTATTTCTCTTAATTTACTTTTATTTTCCATCTTTCATATGTTTCTCCATTATCTATCTCTCTTTCCATCCTACATACATGCAAATACATAAAATATGCTAATTCCTTTAGCTGTGTGATGATACATCATCATCTATCCATCTCTCCCACGTTTTTATATTAGCTCTCTCTCTCTCTCTCTCCATCCTATATGCATGAAAATACATACAAATACGTAACTCCTTCGGTTGTATGATGACACCTCATCTTCTCTCTCTCTTAATTAAAACAAACTTAATTTACTCCCAGTTTATGGATTTCAGGTTCTCCTCTAGAGACAAATATCATGGTCCTCCAGACCATTATACAACTATTACTCTATGGTGCATAGGGGTAATCTCTCGCACATGTACACGCTTCACCCTCATTGGCGAATCGCAAAACGGCTATCTATGTAAATACCGTGTGATGATATAACAATGAGGTTTTAGCCCAGTCTCTAAAGGCTATTCATCACACGCAAGGGCCACACGGTCCCTCGGCTCTCATCCAAGCATACACTGACCTCATCAACGGTTAACCCACTAAACCTTTCTCGGTTAGATCCCTGCCCAGATATCTTGGGTTTTTTTAAAACCTCAGCTGGCCTAGCTCATCGAGCCTAGTCCGAGTATCAGCAAATAACATTTGCCTAGAATGGTCCACAAAAGGACCGCACGCCCATTGAGTTTATGTTAGGCTTTTAAAGGCCACATAAATCCAACATCTCCAACTTGGCCTTAGAAGCCTTACAATCTCTCTTCCTCACTTTCTCTCATTTCCATTTCCCTTACATGCTTTGTAAAAACATTTGCAGCTAGCCTTTTTGTGAGTGGATCAGCTATCATCACCTCGGTAGGTATGTAGTTGATGTCGATCTCTCCATACTGCAGCTCGTTGCGCTGACGATTGAAGAAGGGCTTTATATGCTTGGAATTTTTATGAAATCTGGGCTCCTTAAATAGGCATATAGCAGCCATATTGTCACAGTAGAGTCTCACAGCCCCACACTATATTGGTTTGAAATCAAGTTGATTAAGAAATTTCCTAATCCATACAGCTTCTTTGGCTGTCAAGCAACGTGCCACGTATTATGATTCCATAGTGGACAACGCTACTACATCTTGTTTCTTTGACTTCCAAAAACAGTCCCTCCTCCAAGCATGAACACATATCCAGATGTTGACTTCGCATCATCTGGATCCCCTTGATAGCTTGCATCGGAATATCCTTCAAGAGCGATTTCTGATCCTCCCCCATATGTAAGTACGTAGTTCACAGTACCTTTCAAGTATCTCAAAATTCTCTCGACTGCTTTCCAATGTTTCACTCCTGAATTGCATTAGAACCGGCTAACCTTGCTCATGAAGAAATTCAAGTTAGGTTTTGTCCCCGTCATTGCATACATAAGGGATCCCACTGCACTTCTATATGGTACTCTCTCCATAATTTTTGTTTCCTCTACGATGTCGTCACTAGGGCACATTTTATTACTAAGTTTGTTTTCTTGTCAAGCAGGGTTGTCATGGGCTTACATTTATCCATGTCAAATTTTTCCAACACCTTCTTGCAATAAGTCTCATTCTCATTCTCTCTCTCTCCCTACATGCATACAAAGGCATAAAATAGGTAACCTTTTTTTTTAGTATGATGACACATCATCTTCTAGGTAACTCCTTTTTTAATGTGGTGACATCTTATCTTCCCTCTTTCCCCAATTTAAGTAAATTCCTTTCTCTCCCCAATTTAAATAAATTCATGTTTCTCTCGCCATGATTTACTCTCACTCCCTTCCACATTTATCTCTCCTATTTTCTCTTCCCGTCCCAGATATCTCTCTCCTACATATCTCTCTCCCATCTTTCTCCTTCCTACTTTTTCTCTCCCCCTCTCACAATTCTTCTACACATATTACTCTCACACACACACACATGCACGCCACAACTCTCTCTCTCAACTTTTAACCTGTGCTTCACACACAACAAATGTGACTATGCTAATACTCTTCAAGGCAAACATATTTTTTTCTTCTACATAGGTATGTTGATTTCCATTTTTTTTTGATATTGTATATTGTCTGGATTTCTGTTTCTTCTTATTTGTTTTTTGTTTTTCTTTTCCAAGAACCCATAGTTGAGGCCCATCAGAAGCAAGAAAGATGAATGTAGCAGCCGCCTTGGCTACTTTGAGAGAACCTAAATGAGCCTTCATTTGGCTGCTCATTGGATATTAGATTTCTTTGGTATTACGTTTGCTTAGAAGTGTGTATAGTGTTTAATATAAGAACTAAATAATTTTAATTGTTTATCGGTTGTACTTCTATATGTTCAATGAAATTATACAGGACAATCATATTTTTTTCTCTACATAAGTATGTTGATTTCTATTTTCTTTTAATATGGTATATTGTCTGGATTTCTGTTTTTTCTTTTCTTTTGTTTTTTTTCTAAGAACCCATAGATGAAGCCCAACTAGACCATGGAAGAAGCAAAAAAGACCAACTAGACGCCATGGAAGAAGCAAAAAAGATGTATATAGCAGCCTTGGCTACTTTGAGAGAAAACCTAGATAAGCTTTCATTTCGCTGCTTATTGAATATTAGAGTTGTTCAGTATTACTTTTGGTTAGAATGTGTGTAGTGCTTAATGTAAGAACTAAATAATTTTAATTGGTTATCGGTTGTACTTCTATATGTGAAATGAAGTTATGCTCATATATGATAAAATACACCCTAATAAAATGTATTAATTGTCATGCTTGGACCCATGCAACATTTCATGAAGATGAGTGAATGTTATATCATTATCTTTGCATTAAGTGAATTTTCATTTTTTATGTGATACTCATTGTTTAATTGCAGCAATTTATTTTTTTGATATATGAATCATACAAGTATAACGTATTTTTAAGAAAATAATAAACTCCTAGTAATAAATATATTTAATACTACAATTGTAACTATTTAGTTATAAATACTAATAGAAACAAAAATAAATTAGTTTTATTATAATTTTCAAGAACAATTATTGAATTATTATTAAATATATAATAATATCATACTAAAATTGTCTCACGTTTTTTTCTCTATTCTCTCTCTTCACCAATATTCTTATATACCTACTCTCTCTCCTAATAAATCATCTTTCTTAAAATTTCTTTCCTATTTTATCTCTCCTAATAAATCTCCTTCCCCCTACCATTTTCTTTATCTTCTATCTCCTCACCAATATTATAACATACCTCCACTCTCTCTCTTTCCTAATAAATCAACTTTCCAAAAATTTCTCTACCTCTCCCCCACATTTCAAAACTTCTCTTTGTCATAACTTCCATTTACACATATTATACTTTATTTTCTTCGATATTTCAAAAAAAAAAAATTTCTATTTAGTGAGGGGTTGAATGTATGATATAAAATATAGCCTTCTATCTCATGCAATTTTCTTTCATATATTCGAAACCATTAATGTTATTTGCTTTCAATTTTAAAGAACTTTTTTATATTTTGTGTAAAAATTATTTAATTTATATTAATGAATGATATTATCGTAAATGCAAAAAATAAGAAAAAAAACATAATTATAATTAATCATAAATACAAATTAGAGAGGTACTAACATAATTGAAATTATTTTGTAGAAATAACTACCTCAAAATCAAATCACATCAGTAAATAAAAAATTTTAAAATTATAGTATCACTATGATTAATAATTGCAAAAAAAAAAAGAAAAAAAAAAACTCTTCCGATTTGCTTTATTCATTTCTAGTTTTCTTCTTCTATTTATTTCATTTTCTATCTGTACTTTCTTTATAATTTTCAAAATTCAAAATAAAATTAAAAAAAAAGAAAAATTTT